TCTCTGCCTCGGTCTCCTCCTCAAGCCAACCCTGTCTCTCTGTCCTTGCCTCCAACTGTCACGCTTCCTTAACTGTGCTTCTTCCTCACTTCCCACTCCACCCCACCCCACCCCACCCCCCGGCTCCCGCCCTCATTTTTACGCTGAAATCGCTCTCGCTGCAGCTGTCGGCAGCCTCCTCCACTCTTCCACTCTGTGAAGCCTTTCATACTGTCAGCCGACGCCTCCTTCTTGGCTTCTGGTCAAGATCCTCTCCAGGTTCTCTTCCTGGCTCCACTTCCTTTAAGTGCCAGCGATCTCAGGGATGTGCCCTTGAACCTCCGCTCTCCCCCTGCTTGTTTTCGTAGGACAAGCTCATTTGTTTTCAGAGATTTAACTGCTTCTCCTACCCTAATGATCCCAGCTCTTTATTTTCGGCCCTTTAATTTCTCTCCCGGACCCCATCCTAATAGTTCTCATTTCCTATGGCACATCTACCAGGATGATCTGAATTCTTCAAACACAGCATGTCTCAAACTGGACCCACCTCTCCCTCTCCCTTCCGTTATCATCAACTCAGTCTTCTGACACCTCTTCCCTTCACACTATCCCTACTAAATAGTTACTAAATATTATCGATTCTGCACTATATCCTCATTCTAGCAAAAGTTTGCTCAGCTTCAGCTCAATGCTTGGCACCATGGGAAGTTCAGGGGACAAAAAGTTTTCTAAAACTCAGCACAAAGGCCACATAGTCTAGAGTCTCAGGAATATTCAGAATACAGCCCTCCTTCTCTTCTCAAGCCAGAGATTGATTCCAGATCATACCCCAATTCACCTGCTTCCTAATTGGTCTCTTTAACACAAGTCTTGTCTCACTCAAACCCCTGCTTCAGACCTGCCAACGTGCTGTCTTTCTAAGAAACGATTTGGATCAAACCACCGTCCTACTTCAACAGCTCCCCATTCCTTAAACGCAGAGCCAAAACTCCTCAGAGGCAATCAGGGCCCTTCAAATTCAGGCCACAGCCCTGCAGGTGCATCTCCGACCCTCCTCCAGGCACGTGACAGGAGCTCCATCTTCCTTCCACATC